ATGTCAGGGGTTGCTGCTGCCATACTCCCCCTTCCAAGTGAGCAGAACACAAAGCTGTTACAGCTAGAACTTTACAAGTTGGGGAAACTGTCCCAAGCAATGGAAAGGTCCATGAGGATTCCCCAAGTTAAAACTTTAGTCTTCCTTTACCCACCAGTATAAGGTGTTGACTGCAAAAGTTAGTGGGAAGTCCTACATACAGTGGAGGAAACTAACATAAATCTAGTCCTTGGCTCCCCCTGTAGTTATCTAATATTGTCTCCCCCTTTTTTTCCCTCCCCCTCTCAGATGATCACTGTGTACAGCCTGCCGGGCATGGATCCAGACTGGCTGATAGGGGAGAGGGGTAACCAGAAGGGAAAAGTTCCTGTTACCTACTTAGAACTGCTCAGTTAAATGCTGGCAGGAAGGAGATTCTACAAGCAAAATGCATCCCTCCATCTCCTAGCATTTTGAAGGCAGATTTCTTCATCTGAGACCATTGCTCTCTCTTCAGGGTCAAAACTCACTAACATAGGATTTGAGGAAGGCAATGAGGCTGGTGCTAAACAGTGGGTTTTTGCAGGTGGGGTGTGGGGGGAAAAAAGGGTCACAGTGTCACCTTTTTCCAGACCCCAGGACTGAATTCATTAACTACCAATGCTGCCTGTTTTGAGGGTTAGTTGTCACGGATGCATGATGTTCCTTCCCTCCCTGCCCAAGTCTTGTTTAATGTGGTGGATTCCCAGGAGCCAGCACTATCTCCTTGCTCAGCAGCTGCTTGCTGGGGTGGGGATCACGTAGTTTCTTGTGTTCAGTAGTACCCATCTCTCCCTCTGTCCCTTGTGTCCTGAGTACTTTTTTTTTTTTTTGCCTGGGCCAAACTTTATGTTCCAGTGGGGACCTAAGTCCCTTTCCAAAACTTTCCTGTGCTTGGAACATACCACAGTTCATGTTTAACTCCAAAGAACAAACAGATTGTAGAGTTCTTCTCTGCAGCTGAACAAAGAACTAGTTAAGAAAACAATTCTCAATCCAAAGTACTCTTAGTCTGTGGGTAACAATGTAGGGCTTCACAGCAGCCTTGCTTGGCACTAATGGTGTCTGGCTACAACCTGGTACAGAGTGACCTGTGAAATGGAAAGAAAGCTTCTTGGATCAGAACAAATCTAACTACCCAGGGCCCATACTGCAAGAATGAACTTTCTCAGTGCAAGGGACCATGCATCTTGCTTGCATTTCCTCCAAGAAATTTAGTCTTGGGCTGGAAGGAGTTTACAAACCTTTTAAAAGAAACAAAGTAAGCTTTGCTCTGTGTTACTTGTCCAGGCTCACTTCTCTTCCTGTGTGGTGGTTTTTTTTTTGTTTGTTTTTTCATGCCTGCTTTTTACAGGGGTGGGGGATTAGCCTGATCAGTTATTTCTTAAATATCAAATTGTTTAATTCTAATGCCCTCCTCCCCTCTAGTAGAGAACAAACCTGGTGCATCCTTATGGCATGAGGGATGTTTCACTGGCACTTCTGACCATATACCAAGCAGCAGTTAAAACTCTCTGCTCTTTTTCACCCCCACCCCTTTTGCTCTCAAAGATGCCCTTGTGACTAAATCCACCACAGAGAATGGTGGGAGGTAAAAGTCCTCAATTCTGGGTGAGAAGAGCTAAGTGAAAGGATCTGGATAGTGAAACTAGTCTGTCAATGAGCTGGGTAGAAAAGTAGCACTTGACTGCACCAAGATCTGTTCCCTACTCTACCCTTGGTATGTCTAGACACTGACTTGCTTGTTTGTTCATTGATCTTTTTGCACTCTTTCCTTGATGGCTTTGACCATCCTAATGTAATGAGGCACAGAGCACCTGTGTATGTAGGGCTCTTGGCTTTCAGCATTGATTTGCCAATAAAACAAACAGCCTGCCCTCATGTCTCAGTATGTTGTGTGGGTTCCATGCTGTCCAGTCTCCTTCCCTTCCCCCCTCTTGCCCCCTCGAACCAAGTATGCCAAGCTTATGGTATGTAAGAACCCTTAGTGAATGGGGTCACTTAAATTTTGGGGGTGAAGTTGGAAGAAGAGGGTGAAAGCTAGGAGAAAAGCAGAGGATGTTTAAGTTTATCCTCCTACAAAGCTACTGCCTCACTCCCTTCTTCCCCCCAATATTTTTTTTTTTAATCTCCTACCTGTCCCTTTTTTCTCTAATGCTTGCTTAAACTAAACTGTACCTAGTGGAAATGTCCTAATGCTGTCTTAATGTTCTTCTGTTGGGGGAACAGACAAATTTGCTGCCTCCTATTGGGTATAGATTTAGAAAGTGCTACTAGGGAAAGGGGAGAATACATTTTGCATCTACCTAAGTTCTGGTACAGAAGAGAACAATAAGGAGCTGCTTCTAAGAAACAATTGCCTTATTACTTTAATTCAACCCAATTTTACTGTAGCTGCTGTGGATGATGCAGGAACTGCCCTTATAAAGTATACTGTTGTTGCTGACTTGTCCCTAAAGCCTGGTTTATAAGGGGGTTAACTATTTAGGGGGGTTCTTAAAACTTCTCCTAACCTTCCTGCCATAACATCCTGTTACTTAATCTCTTCTCGAGTGTTGGGCATGCCTGCTGTTAACATCCAACTGCACAACACAATTCCCCCTCCTTTTCTTTAGAACTGAGACTTCCATAGATGCAGCTAGTGATGACTTTCAAACCATACTTCCCCACCAGGCTTGAAACAACCATGCTTTGAGGATTGTAGTTCCTACCTCCTGCGCTGTCAAGAACCTCTCTCCAAGGCAGTCCTGTTGCCTGCATACCCTGCTTCCTCACCCACTGCTAGTGAGGGAGACAGGAGGAGCAGCAATTCAAAGGTGCAGAAAACATTCCACCTCTCCTCCAATTAAACTCTCAAATCCTTAATTATCAGACACTGAAACAGCACTACCTACACTGGTAAAATGCCCCTTTAATTAAAGCCTTTAGTAAGAGGAGCAGAAGATACCTCCAGCTACTTTTTTTTTAGGGTTATGGGTAATGGTCAGCTTAAGGGGCTAAATAAGTAGCTTGCCACTTTGCACATCTATTTTAAATCCCTAGTGAGACACTGCACAAGTTGCAATGCAAATGTCCTTGCTTTACTTCCCTATTGTATATTTGCTATTCACAATTCTTTATAATTTTAGAGCTATTACATGGTAACCATGCTTCTTCCCACCATCATCTTAAATTAAAATACTGCCTATTACTAGGCATGAGGAAAGGCTGCCAGCCTGCCTTGATACTTACAATCCCATATGTGAAAGTTGCTAAGCTTGGAGTGTTTTTTCTCACTACATCTTAAATTGACTTAATGGATGAACCAGAAACAGGTGGCTGTCTTTCAATGAGTGAAAGACAAAATGATCTGAGCTGGATTAGTAAGAGATGTATACTTGTACAGCTGCCTCTCATCCTGCTAGATTAGCTATCTATAAAAGAAGCTATAGCTGAGATGGCTTGGTGTTAACAGGTATACTTCAAGGAACAGTAAAGTACTAAAATAATCTAAATAAGGTTAGCCCTATCTCTACAATACTGCCTCTTTAATTATGCTTTATTAGGCTTTTGGAACTGGCATCTCTACTTCTTAAACTAGCTCCTACTACCACTCTTCAAGCATGAGGTTCTATAAGATCATTTTCTTAAAATTCTCTTCATAACCTCCCAAGGAGGTCTGTCAGCACAATCCCAGGACTCAGTCAGGTTACACAGAACCATGTAAACTGATGGAAAGAAATAAAGTACAGGTTTCCCTTGTTTTATGCAGTACATATGTTCCTGGAAAGTGGTGTATAACTCAAATTCACATAAAGGGAACATACTTTACAATATAACAAGTAGGGGGATATGTTCCAAGACCGTGACAGAAGTGGGTCAGGGGATCAGTACAATCACTTTTACAAGATAATTTTGGTACTCACCAATAGCGGACAGTTGGTGATAAGTGTCCTGCTAGCTTAGAAGCTGTAATGAGGATGGCAACTACAGAAACACAGGCTTGTCAGCAGACAAGTGAAGAACACAGATCCATACAGAAGACTGTATTTTGGTGCACGTCACTCCCACAAAGCAGCTGACTGTAGGCTTCCACCACACTGATCACATAAAAGCAAATTCACCTGGCATATAACCAATTTTTGGTATAAAAAGGGCCACTGCATAAAGGCAAATGCACACATACAGAACCTGCATCAAGCAAGGGAAACCTGTAGTAAATATTATAACTTACCTGCAACTACTAAAAAGTATGTACACAGATAACAATACCACTTACACTCAAGACTTTAGTAGTCTTAAGTGTTCCTTGTACTTGCTCCAGCAGTGCAGGCTCTACTAATCTAGATCATTTAGCTGGCAGTAGATTTTCCTCATATTGTAACAAACCCTATAATGCCTCAGTGATGGAGCTTGCTTCTGTGTAGTCCAATATCAATCACAAATTCATTCTTTATGATACTGTCTTATTTGTACCCGAGCCTCAAGAAGTGAATCCAGGAAAACATTTGAAGAGACCACAGCAGCAATGAAATGCATACATGTAGACCAGGCCCTTGTCAGACAACTCGAGTACTTTCTCCTTGCCAACCCACCCCTTTCTATGCACCTCCAAAGGAAGGTACCATGGCAGCTTGCCCTTGTGCAGATAGTTGATCCCTATGTTGTCTATTTAAAAATCCAATATTTTAGAGGTTTAGATTTAATAAATTGACTCATCACCACCACTTCTGCCAGAGTCCCAGTGAGGGATTATTTTGCAAAGGCTATAAATGCATCTAGCATGGAGCCTAAAGTCCCAAAACTTTTTACAGCAAATAGAGTAAGGGTGCAAAGGAGGTAGTGCTGACAGCACTGCTACCTTCTGCTTTCAGCAACATATAAAAGTATCTAAACTTCCTTCTGAGCCTTTAAAATTATGCCTATTACTGCACACAAGATGCCCAAACTGAAGAATCCATTGCTGTAGGCTGCTGTACCGATACACAGCCACACAAGTCCAGCAGTTTGTCTATAAATGTTTTAATATCCGTATAAATAGGGCATGGTTACAAAAACTTGCAAGACAGGAGCAATGGAATTTTGACTTAAAAACTTTTTCTGGGTGAGGTGGTGTTCTAATCTTCTGAAATATACAGAACGCACAAACTGACAGGAGGGAGCACACACACACGTATCACCTTGCCTTGTACTGTTCAATACAAAAATAGCAGTAGAAAGATTGCTGGCTGATCCCTTGATTGTACCTCACTGTTGAGGAAAGGAA